ATTCTAAGCGGACACGAGGAGGGGGCGCTGCAATGATATATCTCTTCGGTATAACGATTCTAGCTTGGGGTACGTTGCGCTTGGCCGGTACCTCTGAGATGTTTAAAAGATATTGACAATATATATACATGTGATTGACAGAAGGTCCCATCACAGTTTTGTAAACTACATCGTATTTCTAGAGGATTTACCAATCGAGAAACGAAGGAAGCACGAAAGAGCACGCGATCGTAACGGGCAACGGTCGATACGCAATCGATACGGAAATGGAAAGATGCGGTAAATCAGAGGACTTTATTAAAAAAATTTATTTTAAAGAGATTTTTATTATTGGAACTTGATATTGGAATTTGAATGTAACCGTTGAATTTTAGTTTTGAATTTGAATTTAACCGTTGAATTTTAGTTTTGAATTTGAAGTTGACCGTTGAATTTTAGTTTTGAATTTGAAGTTGACCGTTGAATTTTAGTTTTGAATTTGAATTTGACCGTTGAATTTTACTTTTGAATTTGAATTTGACCGTTGAAAAATTTGAATTTATTTAAAGCCGTTTTTAACATATGTTGTAACAGTAATTTCTTCGTTATTCATTAGATATATTTGAAGGGAGATAACGATTGATTTAGCACTCTGGTTTATCAAATTTTTATAAACAGTTCGTAATATGCGGGATACTTAAACAGTTCGCGTGCACTTGGGATTTTCCTCGTTCTATCACTTTAGTAATATCATCGTATGAGAGGACAGTTTTTCTCTTTATTTTTCTTTTCTTGGTTCCCTCCCCCCCTTTCTCTCTATAATATCATATTCGCGGTCCAGTGATACTGCATAGATACGTTTTTTGAAACTTTCCATAATGATACCGAATTATCAATTCAGTGCACTTCGAATCCATTACTTAAACTCGTTCATGTTCATTTTGAACGTCTACTTAGGCCATGTTCGAAACCAGACCAGACTTCTATTTTATACCTGTATTTCACAGTCAGGATATTAGAATGATTATCTACTGCGCATTATTATGTATATGTACATTTCGGTTAATAGAGGTAATATTTCATATTTCTATCGGAATTATTGACTACTGTACCCCTCTAATTATTGAAAATCTTTTTCTGTCCCCTAACCCGTAGAACCTCCTGATCAACAAATGATTACCTTCCTCTTCATTGACTAATAAGTAGTTACATCATCGGCATGTGATTGTTTAATTCTTCATGTTTTACAATTTAAGGGTAAGTTTCAAAATTTCACCGATCAAGGTAATGAAAAATTGATTGGAACAAATAACTCTGTTTATGTTTCATTTATTGGATTGTTGAATTTCAAACACTTTTCTGAATGTTCTGAATTCTGTTTTATTATGCAGGATTAACAATTTTATTGTATTATTTTGATTCAATGCAGTTCGTTTAACATCTTTATTGACATATAGTATTTATACTGCTGTTTATAAACATACTATTGTAAAGGTTGCATCTCATAAATATTATTAATTTCAAAACTAAGTCTTGCGTGAGGCACTGAAATGTGTTTTAGTAAAAACAGTGTAAAAACTTATTATTTATCGCGGTCACTTCGCTATTCTTCTTGTAAAGAAATACATATATAATTTGTTGCCCTTTCTTTCCTTTCTCATGAAAGCTATTAGATTACTTATCAAACACTTTAACAAAAAGTATAGAATACATGCTAAAACAAGAAAAAACGTATGTACATATACATAAGGTAAAAAGTTTCCAAGTTAAATTATGTACATGTAATTATCAAAATACAGTAAGTATTTGTTACAGTATGTATATTCGCTAAGCAGTTCTGTGTAAGACTTCTTTACAAAATTTCTTGTGCAAAAAGTGTGCACAGGAACAGTAAGATACACTGACTTTTTCTACATTAGCATAAACTTGTTTAACTTTTTTTTTTTTTAAACTTAACATTTTCTTAATAAATACTGTAGGCAATTAGTAGGTGCCATTCTGTATGTATCAATTTCAAAGAAATCGCTTTAAGCACAACTGTAGAAATAACATTCTTATGTATATATAATTATAATCTATAAGATTGAATCAACTAAAACCATAAAACGTATAAAATGAAATATGCTTACAAGATCAATCTTCTTTTTTACATATTTTATACATCGCTCAACTATTATTAAAGTGTATACAAAGGTTTACTCGCGCCGTAAGTTTTCCAATCTAGCTTGCAAATCAGCATCGGCATCAAGGTTTGCAGCATCATCGTTCCCTGCAGCTGTTGCAACTGGTTGCTTCAAACCTGTTACGTTCAACGAACCTGAGGCTTGTGGTAAGCCAGACAACTGGTCTGTTAATTGTAAACCCAGTTCATCCAGAACTTGCGATACAACGGCGTCACTAAATAAACAGTATAAAACAATTAATAATAATCACATCAGGGTTACCAATTTTAAGGAAACAATTACTCTGATCAAATCTATTACCTTTCTTCTTCGTCTGCCTCATCCTCCATTGCATCATCTATCGCATCATTCATAATTTCTTCTTTCATGTCCATTATTTCTGATTGTTTTTCAAACTCTTGTAATATCTTTTGAATTTGGGGGAGATTCAGTTGCCTAGAGACAATAATAATCATTTGAGATATGAGAAAGTAAAATATAACATTTTTTTAAATGCTACTTGAAATACTGATAACAATATTGATTACCTATTCATATTCTGCATTGCCCTTGTTACACCTTTCATTGCCTGTGCCATTGTATTTTGTGAACGCAATGTCTGAATCTTCAAAGAAACTGCTTGAATGTTTGCTTTCATCAACATAAACTTCTTCACATAACGTCTGGTTCTTACAAGGTCTTTAGCCATAATTTTTACAGCATCCTATCGAATAAGCAGGAATAATTGTTAAATAATATGGAATACAGCCTTCACAAAAACAATTTACATTACCATTTGCCCATCTTTGGCAAGCTTTTTTATATCAGCTATAATTTTTTTCTCCTGTTGTTCCATCCTCATTTTTTCTCTATCGAGATCTCTCATTGCTTTATTCAAAGCTCTTTGGTTCTTCCTCAGCATCTCCTCAGGGGTAACTCGCTTTCCAAATAACCACTCCATGGTTGTAAAGTAGGAGATTGCACCAACAAGTCTATTTAAAAAATAACAGGTTAAAAGCAAGTTCAAATATCATTTATTTTTTAATGGTACCTTTAATGGTACCAGAAGATAACACTGTCAAGTAAGTAAATTGATTGAAAGATGAAATAAGGATGAAAAACCAGTTAACATTTAGTAAATTGTAATTTCTACTGCATAATAATAATCGAAACATACCTGGATTATTAAAACACTCTGTTAATAAGTATTTTCGAAATAGTTTATAACAATGCTTTATTATCTGTTCAAATTGACTTTCGTTAGGTTACGATCCTAATATCACAAATATAATCTGATCATCCGAAGGTACGAGCGGATGAGTCACAAGTCGAAAATGATTAAAAATGTTCTCACGTCTAATGCACTAACTTTGACATTTCTAAACTTTCTCAGAACGAGAGAAACATCTTAATTGCGCCAATTTAGTCTATAAAATGTCTAATCGTATACATATCCGAGAAAGAATGCTATCGAATTATAAACAGACTAGTAAATAGCTCATGGCTGTATGCAATACTCACTTGACTGCGGTCAATGTCAATTTGACAGATACGGCAAGAAATTCGAAATTAAATCTTCGTATCAATAAAACAGATCGTTAATCATTCTTACCGATTCAATTTATTCAAAAATCCCTTTATCCACGATTATCTCAAAATATCATTTTTGTTCAGAACTTTTAGGGATATATTGTGCGAAATTTATTATGTAGTTATATACAAATAATCCCATTTATCCAGTATTTTTATTATTAACGTAATATAAATGGAAAATCTCTAATAAAATTAAATCGTTTTAATAAAGTGCACCATTTGGAATTATAGATTCAAATAGTATTGCAAACTTGTTGCATTCTGTTGGCAATTTACGTTTACATCATATCAAAGAATAGGAGGTTGGGTTTCGTCCACGAGTTCACTACTGTCACCTGAGTCAGTGTTATTAAAGTAGCATGATTTATAAGTGAAACAGATTAGAAAAGAAACTTAAATAAATAATAGTACAAATAATTTAATTACTTCGAACAATTGTTTTTACATACGAAGTATTACACGTGCAGTCTGAGCTACTGGTTCTTCGTGCGTTATGTGGTCGTACTATCATAACAAAAGTTGAGAATTTATTATAATATTAAATACATTGTTGGAAAACAACATTAAAGATGAAGACAGCATTTATGGTTGCTGAAAAACCATCTTTGGCAGCTTCACTGGCCAATATTTTAAGTAATGGTCGGTGCAGTACTAGGAAAGGTAGGTTAAATTCCTCAACAAAAGAGGTGTTTTCGTTTAATTTAATTTTTTTCATAATTATTCGCATAAATACTTTATACTTAAATGCTAGAGTTTTTGATATTATATTTTTAAAACGAATTCCAGGTTTAAATGGATCATGTTCTGTGCACGAATGGATAGGCCAATTCAGATCAGAAACAGTAAACTTTAAAATGACTTCAGTGTGCGGACATATTATGAATTTAGATTTCATTGGGAAATATAATCATTGGGATAGAGTAGATCCTGTAAGACAGAACTGTGTACAATGTGTAACAAGTTCCTCGCATTGGCATTAATAAAATTATTTTTTTACATGTTTAAGGCAGAGTTATTTTCATGTCCAACTGAAAAGAAGGAAGCAGCTCCTAGATTAAAAATTCCTTATTTTCTCGCCAAAGAAGGAGGTCATTGTGATTATTTAATATTATGGTTGGATTGTGATAAAGAAGGTGAGAACATTTGTTTTGAAGTCATTTCTGCAGTGCAACAGGGTACGAACAGAAAATTGAATCCAAATGTAAGTCTTTCTATTAACATTAATCAATCCAATTGATTGTATCTTGATAATATTGTCTTGGAAATTACACTTTTATATTAGGACATTTGGAGGGCAAGATTTTCTGCTATTACAGAAAAAGATATCAAAGCTGCAATGGGCAACCTGATAAAGCCAAATGAAAATGAAGCCAAAAGTGTTGATGCTAGACAAGATCTAGATTTAAGAATTGGTTGTGCTTTCACAAGGTTTCAGACAAAATTCTTTCAGGTATAAACATTATGAGATACTAATTTACTGTACCTTTTAATTTAGATTACAACAATTTATCTACTACACTTTCATTAGGGGAAATACGGAGATTTAGACGTGTCCCTCATTTCCTATGGTCCTTGTCAAACACCGACATTAGGATTTTGTGTACAGAGGCACGATGAAATTCAAACATTCAAGCCTGATCCATATTGGGTCCTGCAGGTATAACTATTTTTTAAATAAATCATCATTTCATACTTCAGGGTGTATTTCTTCTAAATCCACTCAAATATTCAGTACAAAGAAGATAAACTGAAATCCATTCAAGGTTACAGTAAAGTCTTCAGAAGGTCAAGATACTGTCTTAAGTTGGAGTCGGGTGCGATCCTTTGACAAAGAAGTAGCAAGTGTGTTCCTGAGCCATGTGAAAGAGTATGATCAGGCAATGTAAATATCAACTATATGAAACTTTTAATATGGTTATTAATAGGATAATAAAAATTTAATAAAACTCTCATTGAATCAAATATTACAGCGTTTTAAGCGTGGATAGTACAGAAAAAACAAAGTCGCGGCCAATAGCCTTGAATACTGTAGAATTGATGAGAGTAGCTAGCTCTGGTTTGGGAATGAGTCCACATCATGCTATGCAAGTGGCGGAGCGCCTGTATATACAAGGCTATATAAGTTACCCTCGAACTGAGACTACTGTGTACCCAGAGAATTTTGATTTAGCGTAAGTTGATTTGAAATTAATTCTTATATATCCATTCAATATCAGTATATATAGAAACCTTTACATTTAGTGCAGCGTTAAAGCAACAACAGAGTAGTTCTGATTGGGGAGATCAAGTTCGCAAAATATTAGCAACTGGCATTAACAGACCAAAGAAAGGACACAATGCTGGAGATCATCCTCCTATCACTCCAATGAAACACGCAACGAGAAGCGAACTCGATGGAGATATGTGGAGACTATACGATTACATTACTCGACATTTTATTGCTACAGTAAATACCTTCAGCTTTAATATATCATCGACGCTTTTGTACTCAGGAATATTAAATGTTTACAATCCTCTAGTTAGCTCCAGATTGCAAGTATCTAAGTACAACGGTGAGGTTCGAAATTGGAACGGAAATTTTTACTGCAAATGGCCACAGTTTGCTGGATCCTGGATACACTAATATTCTCACTTGGCAAGCACTTGGAAGTAACGATACGTTGCCTAAATTTACACCTGGCGAAAGGGTCAATATACAAGAGGTGATTATGCAAAGTCAATTCTGATTATTTCGCGTTAATTGCATTTCCATCTTTCACCATAGATATTTTTATAATTTGTAATAGACGAAGATGCTGGAATGCTACACACAACCGCCTGACTATTTGACGGAAGCAGAATTAATCTCTCTAATGGAGAAGCATGGAATAGGAACTGACGCTTCGATTCCAGTGCATATAAATAACATATGCATGCGAAATTACGTGAACGTTACAGGTGGTAGGAAATTAGTTCCTACTTCATTAGGAATTGTATTAGTTCATGGATATCAAAAGGTATGAGTTCTAGTCGTAGTAGAAAAATTATAATAAATTTCTTATTAATTTTGTTCAATATCAGATAGACCCTGACTTGGTTTTACCCACAATGAGATCTGCGGTTGAAGAACAATTGAACTTAATAGCTTTGGGACGCGCGGATTACTATGCTGTGTTGCAACATACAGTAGAAATATTCAAACAAAAGTTCAAATACTTTGTGCATAGCATAGAAGCGATGGACCAATTATTTGAAGTTTCATTTTCACCACTTTCTGCATCTGGAAAAGCACATTCCAGGTTGGCATATGACTCTACTAATAAAAAGATCAGTGGATTGCATTGCTCGCATTGAATATTTATCATTAAAAGTATTATTTATATACAGATGTGGAAAATGTCGACGTTACATGAAGTACATACAAACAAAGCCATCAAGAATGCATTGTGTGCATTGTAATGAAACATACAATCTTCCACAAAATGGAAACATTAGAATTTACAAGGAACTAAAATGCCCATTGGATGATTTCGAATTGCTCTCCTGGTCTACTGGGGCGAGGGGAAAGAGCTACACCTTCTGCCCATATTGCTATAATAATCCACCGTTCAGGTAATTATTCATTAAGGTCAAGTTAACAGCTTAATCTTATGCTTTACCATATTACCTTAAATTCTAGGGACATGAAGAAAGGAATGAGCGGTTGTAATTCATGTACACATCCAACCTGTCCGCACGGAATGAACTCAAATGGTTTATCGAGTTGTCTAGAATGCGATTCGGGTATACTCGTACTTGATCCTTCGGCTGCACCAAAATGGAAATTGGGCTGCAATCGTTGCGACGTTATTATTCATTTATTCGAGAATGCCCATAAAGTGATGGTCGACACCGATGTGTGCGACTGCGGCGCGCAGTTAGTCACTGTCGAATACAAACAGGTAAAGCAATCAATTTCAACTGCTAGGTTAGGAACAGAGATCTTTATATTCAAGGATATATTGCTAACACCATTTCTATTGAAAATGTCAAGACACCTTTTGAAGTTTCAATTTAAAATTATTTTCTCAAAATAATTTCTCCTGAATTGAATTTTCGACATTTCCTGTAGTTAATTTTGTAATCGTTATTGGAAATAGTGTTAAGAGTAACGTAATGAATGGTTGCTACAAATTCTAAAATATCATCTAATGGTCTCATCCGTGATAATTATGCTTTCCGACTTATGTAATGAAGTAGCGTGATAGAATTATCAAACGGATAACAATTGTTTGCAGGAAAAAACGAAACTTCCCAATGAAGCTACAGAAATGAGCGGATGCGTTTTCTGCACGCCGGCTTTCATCTCTCTGGTAGAGAAACACAGGGCTATTGCTTCCAAACCAGTTACCACTCGTAGTCGTGGGCACGCGAAAGGTCGCAGTCGGGGGAAACCCCGACCCCCGAAGGACAAAATGGCGCAACTAGCAGCGTACTTTGTATAATAATTTGTAAGCCAAGCTTGTGAATCTAATCGTTCTCTTCCTAAATTCTTGCGCGTTCGTCGGTAGGCGTAATCTCGAAAACAAATTTCAATGTATTTACTACCTCAACGAATCATCGGATACTGATCGCGTTAAGTTATTTGTAACGGTACATCATGTGTTTCGAACGTTGTGATTTTGTGATCGTAACAGATAGCGAACTACGTTTTGTTTTGTATACATGTCGCGTTATTTTTCGGTATTGCGTTGATATATTACGATGAGAATTGTGAAGATCATATGCTATTTTTAAAAAAATATAACCCAATCTTACGCAAATTTTCTGTCGGTTTTTAATTACACGTGAGTCAGAATGATTCTAAATTTAACAATTACCAATCTTGAGTATTTCCCTAAGTGACCCAAAGATGGCACAACGTGCGGTTTTTTGGCCACGAACCCTTAGAGAAATTCCTGGAAACTTGTAACAAATGTGTCGGTACTGTCAATTTATAGTTGTAGATAAAGTCAATTTCTCTTTGTTATTAAAAAGCCATTAAGATAGTAATTAAAAAAAATTTTTTAAAATCCCACTTTTTATTCTAGATTGATGGCGCCACCTATTGCAAGAATGCTCAAACTTCTAATCAAATAGTACAAAATTATCTGCGTTAGGTGGTGCCACCTAATCATCTATCTCTATCCTTGTCACTTCTATATACATATCTATTCACTTCCCACGTTAGCGTCATTTTGTTGCATAAAGTGTACACTAGCACGGACCGATTGTATCGTGGCTCAGTTTCGGCATGTCCTTGTTACTGGCTGTCTGCTTTCTTCGTCTCGCGGTTCGGCCAGTAACAGAGCCTTGCCGAAACTGAACCACCATAACAATCGGTCCAAGCGCGACGAGTGTCCCTTTGCCCTCTAACATAACAGTCGTTTGTCAGCTTCCAGATGGGTGAAGGTGAACTGTACTGACTCTAGATACTATTACCGATTAAATCGAGCTTTTCAAGTATTCATTAATACGTGGAGTACAATACACGTTAATTCAATATCCTATACATTATCTTATCTGCGATAAGTATCAAGTGTCATACAATTTCTGCCTATGACAAAATATTGGAACACTTTTAACACTAAAGTATTATAATCAAGATAAATATTCCAACCTCTTCTATCTCTACACAGGATGTCTCTGAAAATAATGAACTTAGAGATCTCTTTACAAAATTACTTTCAACATACTTGTACCGAAAGTACGCTCATCATTGCCGATACACTTCTATCCCAGGAAAAGTAATAGCCAAATGTATACCAAATCCTAAAGAACATAATCATCAACTATCACAGCAAAAAAACAACACATCAACTTCAATAGAATTACGTTATTATTATAGGTCTATCTCGTTGAATGTCGCTGCATTAGGTGGTATTACTTACACCATAGAAAAGTTTTCAAATAATCATCGTTTAATTGAATGAACTACAATAATTCAATTTGGTTTCACCGGCGACCCCCATGGCATTCAAGTTAATCAGCTTCCTTAGTAATTTCTGAAAGAGGTATTCGTACCTTTTCAGCAATCGCGAAAGAAGTTAAGAAATGGGTCATTTTGGTCCATCTGGTCTAGTGTTAAAAAGAAAATCGAGGATCGATTGGAATCCTATGTACGCCGATATCGCCGCGAGTCTATTACCGACCCGGTATATAGGTAACGGAGAAAGTTGATTGGCTCGGGGCGTCTCGTCGCCAGAGGGCGGAAGGGGTGTAGGCGTGCGAGAGGGAAAGTGTAATCAGATCAAGACTTGTCTCCCACTATTATCTTACCCCTTCCAAAACGCTATTCCCCTTCGGTGAACATCACGCAACAACCCCTACTACCGTCGCAAGCTCGCCGGCCATCAATTTTGGTGTGTCGTGCACGTGTCACACGTCACGTGACTGATCCAGTGGTGACAGGAAGAGGGGGTACCGCTATTCCCCTCAATTTCCGCTACTGGGCCACGCAGTGTAGCTGTCAAATATTGAAAAGAGACTGTCAACGATAAAAAATAAATCACTGTTAGATAGTATCAACCCTTTGCACTCAAAATATTGAGCATTACTAATGAAAAACTTTTAGACTGCAAGGGTTAACAAAGTAACCAACATTCTAAGTTGTAAATGCAAATATTTACCCATGTTCACAAGCGATCACCATCGATGAATCAAAAGTAGCGTTCACAACTGTCTAATCAGGAAACTGAGGTACTTACCCGTCATCCAAGGATAAAATCACCTGACACATGAAACGAGCACAGCACTAAACCGTTTGAGACCCAGCGCGACCACGTTTCTCCAACTGCCAAAAGTGCGTCTATCGGTCCATAGAATCAGATGAAGCTTACTCTTTTCTCCTAATTATTCACTCTTATGTTTGTCATTACCCTAATACTAGACTCTAACGATCGTGCTATTCAAAATTTATTTATAAAAACAGAAAAGCGTCATTGCGAATTGAAACGAAAGAAGCGCAATTGGGACTCAAACGGCTAAGCAAGACGGGCGGCGCGCGTCGCCTGCGTCGCGCGCCGCGTCACGTGACCGGTCTGCGCCGATAGTGGGGGCTAGTCGCGGGCTGCCCGCCGTGGGAGTCGTGGTGGAGGTAAGCAAGAGTGGGGGACGAGTCTCGATACTGCGCGGCACGTAGCCGGGCGGGCTGTCAGTCGGTAAACGCAAGCCGTGCCGCGTGGTTCCGTTCCATTCAGCTAACTTAAAGAGGGTGAGTGCGCGCGCGAGAGCTTCCGCGAACCTCCCTGTCCCTGTGTGTGCGCGTATGTGTCTGAAGAGGACAGCCGTGATCTCTGGCTCGTACGTAGAGGTGTTCGGGACCAGGCGTCGATCGTGTCAACCGAATATTACGATGCGGTGAAGTGGGTAGGCAAGGTGTCCTGGGCGCGGCGTCTCCGGCGGAAGGAAAAGAGCCTAGCAAGCTGGCCGGCATGTGCACGCAGTACACCGCCGCCGCCGCCGCCGTTGTCCTCGCGATGTTCCTTTGCCGGATCTGCTCCGCCGAGCAGCGGCAGGCCGGGTCCTCGCACGCACTGGATCTCTGCAACGCCACTGCCGACGGACGGGACCTCGTCTGCCGCGGTGCCGGCCTCCTGTCCATCCTGGAGCCACTGGACCCAGCCGTGCTCGCCTCCGCCGTCAACCTTACTAAACTGTGAGTACCTTGACGACACTTCTGTTCATTTATGCGATTATCATTTTACTGTATGAATTCTGCTGACGTTTTAACCCCTTACACTCGAGGTCATTCTTGTTCGCTTTCTTACGGTGAAACTATAAAATTTGACGGTTAATGTTATATCTTGTGTAATTTATTAAGAAGAATTGAAATACGGTATGTACGTATAATTTCTCTTCGAGGTAGTTTCAAAATATCGTCTTTGTCTTGTCGGAATATGTTCGAATATTTCTAGTGACGAACTTCCGGGTGCGAAGCGTTGACACTAGAACTACGCAGTAGGTTAAATTGACCCATTCTTAAGTTATTCAAAAGATGATAGATGCTTCTTTGCAATAGTATTAAGGAAATCGATTTAGGTATGGACGAACTGAATCGTATTGATTGAAATCTCGATAGCTGCGTTCTTAGAGTTCCTCTAGGTGAATTTGAAAATGTCAATTCTATCAGTTCTGTTAGTTCTGTCAATTCTATCGATTCTGTCGATTCTGTCGATTTTATCGATTTTATCGATTTTATCGATTCTATCGATTCTATCGATTTTATAGATTCCAGTGACAATTGAACTGCCACCGGTAGCGTCTCAATAATTGTAGGTTCAAGATTAAGTAACCCATCCATTAACCAAATCTGTAACCGCCAGTTCTCAAATTTTTCAAGATTTCACCATTGCAAGCGTTTCATCGGCTTCATTGTTTATATCTAAAATAATTGTCCTTACTAAATGTTGCAATAGCAATAGCAATTCCTTGTACCTAGTTGCCTAAAGTCATCCACTTGGCTCAATGAGCAAGACAAATGCCCATACAGAGTGAAGTAACAGAATGCTAATTACTGTTTACCTTAAATCACTGCATAACGTGAAATGTAAATGCGGGGTGGCAGCGGTACATTATAACTCTGATTATACGTTGCCGTGACGTTAATGTGCGCCACCGAACACGCAGCAATCGGTTTAATCGAATCGCTCGCGATTCGATCGAACATTGACACTATTTCTACCAGAGATGTAAAAAGTCTCTTGAAATTTTAACTAAAAATTATTTTCCAATTTTAGTCTATTGACACCATCGGTAGACAGTGTTAACACTAGCACTAATCTAACTATCAATTCATATAATTGATATTTAAACAGTGTAAAAGTTATAACAATAGAATATTGTAAGTTTCTTCAGACATTCCTTACTTCATTAATAATATTCAAATGAAACTATTCATTTTTCAAATCATTCCAAATATTCAATACTCTTGAGGTATCGATGAGTCGAAGCAAGAAAATCGGAAGCAGCCATTTTGATTGGTAGTTCTAGTATTAACCCCTTCCTTACGATTTACTTCTCAACTATAATCGATACAACTACTTTATTATTAATAATTCATTGTAAATAAAGGATTCTCAAAGTATGAACAATTCCGACACAAGAGAACCAAATCAGCCATTTTGATTGGTAGCTCTAGTGTTAACCCCTTCCTTACCATTTATTTCTCAACTATAGTCGATACAATTACTTTATTATTAATAATTCATTGAAAACAAAAAAGATTCAAGATATGAACAACTGCGACACAAGAGAATCGAAATCAGTCACTGCGACTGGTACGTCGATTCCGGCGTTAATTCGAATTGTTGATCGCGCGTTTGTATGCAAAGGACCCTCGCCATTAACGATCGCGTAACACTGGCCCGAATAGCGGTTTAGAAAGTATCCGGGATGCATCGAAAGTTAATGACGCGCGGTTGGATTACACGCGGACGGTGTGTTCCTTCGCCGTTGTCAGTTTCCGAGCGGTTTAGTCACGCGAAGGTCCTTCGAAGTTCACCGGTGAAGTATTTAAAAGGCTCGAAAGTCTCTTCGAGGCCTTCGAGGCCTCGTCGCCGCAGAATTTCTTCGCTAATGAGAACCTCGGCGGCTGCTTGGCTCCCGCCTTTATGGATCCCTTGTCTGCATTAATATTTCGCTGAAATATTCCCGCGGTGGGGCGCGTGAATAAGAAATTGGACCACTGAATATGATGAATAGAGAACGGTCGCTCGAAGTTTACCAGCTAAAATACCGCCGACAGAATTGTGTGGGGCGATTGTGTAAACAGGCTGCTAGCAAATATGTCTTGGCAGTGATAGTTAGAGTGATTGGAGCATTGTTTACCGTTGCGACCGGTTGTCGATGGGAGTCCTTAGTGATCACTGTTTAGTGACTACGTGTCGTTAATTTTGAATTGGCTGGTATTGTGGATGGTTATTAGTAATGAAAGTATAGACTGGTAACTTAGTGATCTATGTATACTACTAGTAGCTACTAAACACAGAACAGTCACTACTATGTGTCACTAGTTAATTTTGAATTGGATCGTATTATGGATGGTTATTAGTAATGAAAGTATACACTGGTAACTTAGTGGTCTATGTACTACTAGTAGCTACTAAACACTAGGTATCAACGATTGAAAGTAGAACAGTCACTGTTAGATAGCTATCAGTGAAAGTAGAAACTGGTTATCAGTGATTCGACAATAAAAGGAATAACCAATGCTCCCAAGTTTGATCACTAGTGTACTACTTGTTACAAATAGTGCTTAGTAGAGAATAAAAGTAACCAGTGAACTAGTTACCAGCGATCAGATAATAATAAGAGTAACCAATGCTCATAAGTTGTCCATATAAATCTTCATCCATTGACTAGTGATCACTAGTGAACCAGTGATTACGAATAAGTTAGAATAAAATTAACCAGTGGTGCTTAGTTGTCAATACTAACTACTAATCACCAAATCCTCTTCGACAGCAATCGAAACTCACCATCAGCGATTGAAAAACTATGCATCATGCAAAGCAACGCAATCCTCTTCGCTAGTTTATCATTTGATCTCGTATCGTACCAATCTGATTCACTTCGAACAAAAATTGCCGTGAAATTCTTTGATCCGACGATAATTCCGTTACCGGCAACTCGTGCCCGATATCCCGGGCAATCTGTTCAACCAGTTCCCCGTTGATATCCGCGAAACAGTTGTTGCCATTCGCGTCACGTCGCGTCGGGAGCCACATATACCCGGTGTGCGCGTAACGCACGAATTTCTATCAGAAACCGAACGGCCCGGGCCGCCGCGCCGCGCCGCGCCGCGCCGCGCCGCGCCGTGAAAAACGAACGACACATACACGCGCGCAGCACGCCGGGGACACGACCGACGAACGATTCAACTTTTTTCTGGCCTGAATTCCTTCCGAAAGTATTCCGCGGGACACTTGCTCTCGTAGTTTTCGTAACGCGGACTCGGAAACGCCGCCGCGCGCCGCCGTCGAACTTTCCTCGATGCATACTACTGCGAGGTTATTCCCGGTGTCGTTCCGCTTCCATCTTGGTTTCGGACGCGAGCTCCGGAAATCGTCGGAGGTTTTTTCTCGTCGCGGGAAAAGACGCTGACGCTGTAACGTTTTGTCGGTGCATGCACGGATGCGCGAGTTCTGGGGATCTTGCGGCTCGTGTTTCGCCAGTTCTGTAGATTTTACGGATTCGAACGGTTTCGTGTGTTTCGCGTGAGCTGGGAATTGGGGGAAGTCTACTCGTTTTGTAGTTTGTAATATAAATTGTAGAGATTGTAGAAATTCCACTGTTTGCGAAGTCTGCAAAGGCTGCAAAGGCTGCAAGGTCTACAAAGTCTACAAAGCTACAAATTCTACAAAGCTACAAAGTCTACAAACTTCACGAATTCTACAAAGTCTACAAAATCTACAAACTTCACGAATTCTACAAAGTCTACAAAATCTACAAACTTCACGAATTCTACAAAGTCTACGAACTTCACGAATTCTATAAAAATTCTATAAAAATTCTACAAGAATTCTACAAATTCTACAAATTCTACACATTCTACAAAGTCTACGAAGTCTACAAACTTCACGAATTCTACAAATTCTACAAATTCTACGAATTCCACAAATTCACTGACTTTCACACAGCAGGCGTTTTTCCCTAAAGAATTGAAGATTTCCAAACCACTCAACAAAAGAGACTTCGCCGGTCTCGCACAGAAAACTACAATCTTCAAATCACTGTACATCCTATACCACATCCTAAAGGAACATTACAACACGCTAGTGAAACAAGTATCACTTCGAAACGAATACATTACCAGCGAAGAGAAGTGACCGCTCGCCTTGGAAGAATCACCAACGGCAGGCGTTTGTTTAGAATCCTACGGTCATTAAAGCGCTGAAGAGCGTGCCGAGGTGCGTTCTTTCGCGACGGCGGGTCGTTCTTTCGCGACCGACGGCGATAAATCCGAATTACAATAAAATCGGCGTCGCGGCCCGGCCCTCGGAGCTAAAATTGAAAGAGGAACTATAACCCTGCGCCCCCGAGTCCGTGAGACCGCGAGATTTCACAAGGAGCCCCGTAAATTACGTTAACACTCAACGAACGTGTTGTCTTTTTCCTCTCCGCGTTCCTTTGTTCCCGGGTATTCTCGAGGAAATGCGAATAAAATACACCCGCTAAACATAAATTCACTTAGCTCGTCCTACGAGATTAACACGGACGAACCGTCTAATTGCTTAGATTAGCGAGAAAGACTTCTGTGTCGTCGTTATCGGGAAGATATACAGTCGGAATCGATGATTTACGACGATTCATTCGTCTTAACGGCGCTGGGTCGCTTTAAATATCGTTTCCCGGAGATTAAAGAAGACCCGGAGGCTGCTGGAGATAAAAGAAACGTAAAGATTATTTATATTTTAATGCTTCCTTCGTTTCGTTTCACGAAGCGCCGCCCAGCGAAAATAAGAGAGCTGTTCTCCGTTGAAAAGTGAATGAAAAGTGTATTACATTCATGGTCTGCCTTTCAACGATGTCTCCGTTATTGCTCATTCAAAGAACCCCGCTACTCGCGCAGCGTTATTAACACAAACTACCGGAGGGCTCAAATGACCCGTGATGTCTTCTTCTTGCAGTTAGAAAGCTACCAAATGTTTCTCTGAG